TTGTTGTCTCATTTGGCTCAAAATTTAAGCCAACAACACAATTAAAAGAACTCGTCAGGAAGCCGTTCAATAAAAAAAACTTCCTTTTTAGGCCTAAGATTTCGAAGATTTTAATTTATTCCAAAAAAAATAGTGTTTTAAATTTTCTTCGCAATTTTTTCAATTAATTGGGAACCACAGACCCTCAACTTGACAATCACGCCTTCCTTAAAGTTTTTTGTTCTTATGAAAAATTGTGATGATATTATTGCTAATATTATTATTATTACTATTATTATTACTTCTTGTGTGGTGCTCCTGGTATAAATAAGAAAACTTAATGTTAACAGTATAAGTGAACGTAAAGATTATCAGTATACTAGCCACAGACTAATGTATCAGAAATCAAACTAACTGAAGAAGTTGCCAGCTGCACAGATGGGCAACCATGCTATGATTACAACTGTCTTCTACTTAACAACTAAATATTTAGGCACTGATACATTGAGCTATTATATACTTAATAACTTAGTATTTAATAACTTAATGTGTCGACACTTAATAAATTAATATATTGGTACTTAATAACTTAATAAAGCTGATTCAAAATATCATTTAGAAAAATTACTTAATTGCACAAAAAACTAACTTGCTGGCGTTGAAACTGGCATGATGGGCATCGCTACTGGCGCTATCGAATGAAGTACCAGTAGGACCAGGAGCAGCCGAATCGAAGCTTGACCACAACCTTCCGGTCATTGCTGCTTTTTGCATTTTTTTGGCAAGTAAAAGCTTCTGCAGCTCCCTAGACGACACATCCATTAGGCAGTGCAAGCAGTTCAGATGTAAATGTGACCTGTTTTTACCCGGTGACCTAGTACCACCCGTATTTCGAGCGTACTCAGCTCGTTCGTCCAGATCACAGGACAGCGAAACACCTAGTGGCCGTTTTTTCGCCGCTTTTTTTGGTATTTTCCAGAAATGTTTTGCAAATAACGACATCAGAAGATGCGAACGCACATCACAACGAAATTTTTTCATCTTCAGATTTTTAGCACTGGTACAAGCGCTACTAACAGTAGAGGTGCTTTTAGCGCTTGTGCAGCCGCTGGGTGACTCTTCAGCAGCTTCATCAACTGCGCGGGAGCGGACGAGCTGTGGCTTCTGGCGTCGATTCCTCGGTGGTGAAGGATTGGAACATGGTTGCGAATTGGCCCGAAGGTAT